TGTCAGAGGGAGAGCGTCCTGGTGACGCAAAGGAAGGGTGTTTCGCTGTGAGATAAGGCCACACTTATGGCTCACGGCGGTTTGGCGACAACGAAAGTGATGTGGTTTCCAAATTGGTTTCAGGTATTCCGAGTCTTACTATCGCTGAGGGCGAATGACTGTGACTGCATCCGAGCCAAGGATCATGGGATATGCCAGGGACGCCTGTCTGATGTGCTTTGCTGAAGCCTGTGTTGTTGTTATATTTCCAGAATGCTTACTTTGTAGTGTACCACAGTGTTTTTTGATGTTGTTCCTGGAGGCCACTTTCATGCACATTTGATGGGTTTCTCTAATCTAATCAGCTCATTAGCAGAGTGCTATGCTTTGAATCAAAGACTGCATTTCATTTGTTCTAGAGTAAATGTTTATCACTTCAGCGCACATCTCCACGAGTGCTGCAATGTGACTGTGACGTCACGTATCCACATCCTGAAATCGGAAGCTGCATCCTCTGTTCCCTACACACTCAGCAGGGAAGCAACATCATCAAAACAATAGGCTATAAACTAATAAAAGAAAGAGAAGTCATGTGTTAAGAACAAATGGTGCTACCAAATGAAGTATGCAGATTTGCCAAGATTTTAATTTATGTTCCAATTTGAGGGAGCGGGTTTGAGAAGTTGAAGTCATGAATATTTTTCTGCTGATTGCCATGAGAGCTCTTGATAAGGTTGTTGGGTAACAAAGCAGGAAGGTGTTAGTATGCTGCGGAGGCTACAGGATGCTTGAACAGCCCGGAGGGGGAGCTGAGATGTCCATTCTGAGATGTGCTGGATGTGGGGGCCAGGAATGATTGGAAAATTATCTAAGCGGTCTGACTGTTCAACAGCAGGCAGTCTGAGCTGCAATATGGCAATTCAGTTGTCTGCCAACAGAGAACAGTTGCCTTCCATTAAAACAATTTCTACAGGGTCATTTTCTGGCACAGTGTACAAGACTCTGCAAAAGAGATGTATAAGGTGGTGTTTGTACCCTTACACAATAAGAATGGATTTTTTAAAAATTAAATTTGGAGTCTGGTGAAGCGAAAAGCTGTGTGTTTGTAAAAAAACAAATCCATCATTAAAGGGATAGTTCACCTAAAAATGAAAATGTGATGTTTATCTGCTTACCCCCAGGGCATCCAAGATGTAGGTGACTTTGTTTCTTCAGTAGAACACAAACGACGATTTTTAACTCAAACCGTTGCAGTCTGTCAGTCATATAATGGAAGTGAATGGGAATCAGCTTTGAGAGTCAAAAAAACATACACAAACAAAACCAAATTACACCCTGCGGCTCGTAACGATACATCGATGTGTAAAGACACAATACGATCGGTCTGTGCAAGAAACTGAACAGTATTTATATTGTTTTTTACCTCTGATTCACCGCAATGTCTGAACTGTCCTGAGCGCATTCTCGACAGCTGGCGCGTGATGCGTCTTCTTCTTCTTCTTGCTTTACGGCGGATCACAGACTTATAACCGTGCGTTCACACCGCCGCCGTCGAGAGCGTCAAAGTCATTCATTTTCAATGTGAGCCAGCGTCGAGCAGCGGCGCGGCGCGACTTGGACATTGAGGGTGTCGAGGAGAGTTGAAATCAGGTCAACTTTATGGTAAAGAGCTATGACGCGGTTCGGCGGCAACC